GCGGATCCGGCAGTTCTTCTGACAAACTTCCAGACTTTCTGCGAGGTGTCTACTGTCTCCGTGCAGTGCGTGCTTGCAGCGCCCTTGGTATCCCCTTGTCGAAGGACGTCAATCACGTGTCAGTTGGCCTGGTAGCCCCAGATTTCGCACGTCGTTCGGGCTGTCGGCTCGATGATCGCCGAGCGAAGGTCCGGCCCCGCGGTTAGAAAGATTGAAGCCGTCGTTGCGCAGCATATTGGGAGGGTGAACACATGGATGCAGGCATCTATGGTGAGAGTTGAGGGTTTCCGTCCACGGATTATCATCGGCTTATTGAGGCGTTGTAGACGGGAATCAACACTCGAGGCAAGAGCGATCTTGATGAGCGCCGTGTTTTCGCCGAGGCAGTGACAGTGCTAGCTTCCCCGCCGCCTATCCCCCAGTCGGCCAATCACAGCCGTCATCTTGACCCCACGAGTCCCCGCGCACACTAGACAGGTGAGATGGAAGACAGAAATAACCCTCAAGATGAGCCCACTCAAGCATCTGAGGCTGGTCTGGATGTGTCAGTTAATATGTCAATTGTTGGACCCCAGAGCCACTCCGCGTGACCAATTGACCATCATTTGGAGCTCCCTGTCCTCCTCGGGCGCGCTCCTCATTGTCCCGAAACCCTCTTCGGATCGAGGTCGTGCGAGAGCGGACCAACTTGCCGTAGGGAAGTTTACTCAACGCCAACCCTCTTTATCGAGGCTTGTGGGCATGCTCGGCCTATAGTCACAACGACGCGCGCCTGGACCAACCATGTCGGAGGACCGGGCACCCCCGAACGAATGGGACAGCGATGGCAGCGACGAAGATACTGCGTCGCGCGTCAGTTCCAAGAGGAAGCGCCCTCCTGTGTCCGTCTCGTGAGTTCCACACCGCACGTCGAGTCGCGACCTTGTCCCCCCCGTCGCCATGAGCGAGCCTGAGACCGCATGTAATAACAACCCCATCCCCAGATGTGAGCTCTGCAAGCAGCGCAAGGTCAAGTGTGATCGCGGGCAGCCATCGTGTGGTTGGTGCACCCGCAACGGCGCAACATGCGAGTACAAGGAACGACGCAAGCCTGGCCTGAGGGCCGGCTATGGGAGGGAGCTCGAGCAGAGGCTCGATAAGCTTGAGCAGATCCTCAGGTCCCACTCGGAGATCTTGCAGGCCTCTCTGTCGAACCAGGGCAGCTCGATATCGCCAAACCACCACATGAACTCTGCCCACAACAACCCACTCACCTCCAGCCTCAACACCATTTCGCCCAACAACAATAGCCATGGCAATGCCATGTCCCACCACGGCAGTCTACCAAGCGACAATGGCACACCACGAGACCCCGTGTTCCGACCACCAGAGCACATCCGAACGCCCCAGGCAGAAACGGCCCTGTTTCTGCATAAGCCGTCGAGCTTCACGCCAGCCTCGCAGGATTTCGGCGTCCATGTAGCACAGACGCCCGGCGTCGAGGGCTTCCACAATCCTTCCATGTCTGGCATGTCAGCCCCGTCCCAGATGCAAGGTATGCAGCCATCTGCTGCCGCGCAAGACTATTACGGGCAAGGTATGGAAACCAGAATTTCGATTCATCATTGTTCCCTCAAGGACTAACCAGTCGCGTTCCGAGCAGGACCGGTCAATACACACTCGCCGACAGTGCCCATCCCCCATGTCGGGGCCCCCGCGGCCCTGGATCAGGAGATGCCGCCTTACGACCTATTATATGCTCTGGTCGACCTCTACTTCAAACACATTAATACGTGGTGTCCCATACTACACCGCAAAACGACCCTGGACTCACTATTCGGCCCCTCGACGCTGCAGGAGACGGACAGAATTCTACTCCACGCCATCGTGGCCACCACGATGCGCTACTCTAACGATGGCAGACTGACCGAGGAGAGAAGACGCCACTATCATCAGGTGTCAAAGAATAGGGTTCTCCTATATGGCATGGAGAACGCCTCGGTCAAGGCGTTACAGGCCCTCCTGATCCTCGCCTTGGATCTGTGTGGTGACAGCAATGGCCCGCCGGGCTGGAACATCATGGCATTGATCACCCGATCTGTGGTGCAGCTCGGCTTGGCTGTCGAGAGCACATCCTCCAGTGTGTCGCCAAACATTACCTCTATATACACCCTGCGAGCAATGGTGCTGCCGGACTCCAAGGACTTCATCGAGGAAGAAGCCCGCAGGCGACTGTTCTGGATGATCTACATGCTCGACCGATATGCAACCATTGCGACTGCCTTTGAGTTTGCGCTGGACGACAAGGAGATTGACAGGACGCTCCCTTGCCGCGACGACTTGTGGATCAAGAACCAAAAGGTAGAGACACGCTGGTTCAAGACCAAGGACCACCACGACGAGTCGGGCGAGTACGGCGTCAACAAGCCCGAGAACATCGGCGCCTTTGGTTTCCACTGCGAGATCCTCAACATTCTCGGCCAGATCCACGACTTCCTCAAGCAACCTGTGGACATTAGCGCGTTGAGCGACGTGGAGCAGTGGCAGATGCGGTACAAGGAGTTGGACAACATGCTCACATCATACAAGTTCTCCCTGCCCAACGAGTACGGCAACATGGCCAAGCTCTTCCAGCCAGGTAGTAAGAACCTAAATTGCGGCTGGGTCATGCTGCACGCAACATACCACTTTGCCGTCATCAGGCTACACTCTTCGGCAGCCTACCCCACGACCCGGTCGCCCATCTTCACGCCATCCTACAGCGCGTCACAGCGGTGCCACGGGGCGGTTGAGAACATCGCGGCTCTGGGAGAGTTCGTGATCAACAACGGCCTCGTGAACAAACTCGGGCCGCCCTTTGCCTTCACGCTCTGGGTAGCGGCCCGGTTGCTGCTGGTGCACGGGTCCACAGTCGAGCACAAGCTGTCGCCGCAAATCTCCTTCTTCGTCGAAACCCTGCGCGAGATGGGTCGCTACTGGCCCGTGGCCGCGCGGTACTGCGAGCTCCTCTCGCGGGTCCTGGACGAGCACCGCGACAGCGAGCACAAGGGCGACGGCGTGACGCCGAGCTCGGTCAAGATCCTCGCCGACATGCGCCGCACAGCCTTCGACCTCGACTTTCTCATCTCCCGTCAGCCCAAGGCCGGTGGGGCAGCCGGCGGCTCGATGAACCCCAGTCGGCTGCCGAGCGTGACGCCCGCGAGGACACCCGCGCCGAACGAGCTGGAGTATCTCGATGTCTTTGACTTTTTCAACTTTCCCAGGCTCCCCCTCGGCGGGGAGAACATTAACACCAATGGCAACGGAAACAACACCCAGACCCCGGCGCCGGGGGACGAGATGGACCCTGGGGGCAACGGCCAGGGCTTGGCAAACGAGTTCAACATTACGAATTTCACGGTGGATGCAAACAGCGACTGGCTGTTTAAACAGGATGGTGCCATGAATGGCAAGTTCATGTCATAGGAGGGAGGGGGAAAAAGGCATTTTATGGGAAGGTATGATTTCTGGGAATATCTACCGTTGGTAGTCGCTCGAGGGGGCATGGGTGGCGTTGAGGAGTTACGGCAAACCAAGAGCATGCGATGAGTGGACGGCTCCAGTCAGCACTAGGGATTGACTACTAGTATCGAAGTGACGGGGAAAATGTTTAGTGACAGTGGACAATGTTAGGACATTATACCTCACGTCAATTTCTGACACCTTGCTATGCCTACCCTGTACTATATGCTTGCTTGTGTCGTCGTGATCGCTGACAATTGCTTCTTCAGATCATGACTGCGTGAGCTGTCTCGTCGCTTTGGTGGGGTTTTTTTTTTTTTTTTTTTTTTTTTTTTTAGTACTTGACTCCTCGAAATATGCCAGCAGCGTATGGGGGTTCGATCCGAACATCTTCAAGACTCCCTAGTTGTCACACCGCAGATCAGCTCACGTGATAATCGGTCACCTCGCCAGTTCAACTAGTCGAGTCGATGTGATCGATCCTTTCGACAGCTTGATTGACTTCAACTAGACAACCCTTTAAAAATTCCATGCTGCTCCCGACGACGAAGTACCCAGGTTACTGTTGACGTAGCCATCTCGACCCTTCGCCGATGAACTCTCACTATGCGGAGCTGCACGATTCAGAACGGACCCTGAATAATGGACACCACTTCATTTGACATTCTGCTACCAGGATGAATCGCGAAAGTTTGTTGAAGCGAGTCTCGACTGACTGCGACCATCACTTCGAATGCTAGTGCTCATGAGCCGTGCGATTTTGCATGTCAAGCACGGCTTGGTCAAATCATATTTGCGCCTCGGAATGGGCAAGATTGACGACAGGCGAGCTGAAGCATCGGTCGCAACGACAAGGCTGAGACAGAACGCCAGTGCTCACGATGCTCGCGCCGCCCAGCGCCTCGGGTTGGAAAAAAAGGTCACGATGCCTGGCCAACGACGTCCCTGCCTGCCAACCCCGGATCAGCATCAGCAGGAACACTTTAGCATCGTGGGCACTTGGTCCACAGGACACATGGTGGTTTGGATGCACTCCCCCGTGAGTGCGCAACGCTTGCAGCGCAAGACGGTGGGCGGCAAACTCACGATGCTCCAGCACCTGGGGCTCAAACGGTGGCCTGGTGTGGTTCCACCCGCCACCTCAGCGTTTTCTTCCTCCACACTCCGAGGGCTAACTCACGATCCTACTGTACCCAGTGTTCGGTTGCTACCGATCTGTAGACTGGTCGTCCTTTGTGTGGGGGTACACTCATTCATCCATGTGAAAGCATAACATCGTGGCATGGTCCCAGAAATGTCACGATGCATGCCGCCGGATTTTTGGGGTCCTCGACTCCTCGCTCGCCCTCGCTGCAATGTGCACCGAGTGAGCCCCTCACGAAGCGGGTAAAGTTGAATGCATGGCGCCTTTGCTTCGTTTTTAATAAAGAGTCACAAGAGCCTCATGCGGAGAATGATAGCAGTGTCAATATTTCTTGCTCAATTTCGACCTGGGCAATCCTCAACCATCGCGCTGTCCTTCCCAGTACCAGACCTGTGCCGTCATCACCGACCGCAGCACATTTCCTTAGCATCAGCACTTGGCAACGCCATCGCATCATCCTCCCGCAACTACGTAGCGAATCCACTATCGCAGCAACTGGACACTCGCGGGCACAGCACAGCATCCCTCCTAGGGTGGTGTTGACGCCCCGCTTCGCAGTTTCTGCTCTTATCGCTCCTTATCAGGACAAATACGACGAAAGGCCAGGCATTTTGACATCATCATGCCTTTGACGGGCGTGCTAGCCGGCAAGACTGCCATCGTCACAGGGGGCACCACGGGCATCGGCCGAGCAATCTGTCTCGAGTATCTGCGCCAGGGCGCCACAGTTGCGGTCAACCACCTCGGCCTCGAGAAAGACCAGGTGCATCTGGACACCCTCGTCGATGAGGCGGCGGCCCTATGCAAGGATAACTCTGACGCTTGTAAGCTGGTCCACCAAGCTGGCGATGTGAGAGAGCCAGACACGGCGGCCAAGCTCGTCGCGCTGGCTGTCGAGGCCTCGCCATCACAGAGACTGGACATTTGCGTGTCCAACGCGGGCATCTGCACATTTGCCGAGTTCCTCGACCTATCGCCCGACTTGCTCACAGATACGGTGCGCACGAACCTCGACGGCGCATTCTACGTTGTGCAGGCGGCAGCGAGGCAAATGGCCAGGAGCCAGAGCCCGCCGGGCGGTAGCATCATTGGCATATCGTCCATCTCGGCGCTGGTAGGCGGTGGACTGCAGACGCACTACACACCGACCAAGGCGGGCGTCAACAGCCTGATGCAGAGCACCGCGGTCGCGTTGGGCAAGTACGGCATCCGATGCAACGCGCTGTTGCCGGGCACCATCAAGACGCAGCTCAACGACAAGGACCTTGAGGACGATGCCAAGAGAACCTACATGGAGGGCAGGATCCCGCTCGGCAGGACAGGTGTGCCAAAGGACATGGCTGGCCCTGCCGTCTTTTTGGCAAGTGACGAGCTGAGCGGCTATGTGACGGGCGCTCAGCTGCTCGTCGACGGCGGCCTCTTTGTGAACCTGCAATAACATAGACGCATGTGAATATTAAAAGAAAAAAACAACATGCTGGATTCGGGCTGCACGGGGACATGCATGCATCCTTGGGTGAGGCTCGGCGCACGACACATGTCGTGTCTCATTGTGACAATACTACCAAGTAGTCTAATAGTGTTAGCAGGGTTAACGAGTATCACTGTCTCAACCTCGACGTGAGGACGAGCCGATCCCTCCCTCATACAGACGGGAAGGACACACCTTGCTTGAGGTTCTGACACACAGGACATATGTAGGCCCAGGGGGATAAGAAAATGCATGGCGCATCTGCATGTGCGCACGAGCGGCTCCGTAGGTAGGATGATGCTCTCCTGCTTGCTGTGTCGGAGTGGTGACAAAGACCGCATCTTGGGATCGGCCCGTTGAAAGAGATGTTGACCAGGCTTTTACTTGTACAGTTGATGATGACGCTTGAAGGGGACGCTACCGCCGATAGACTACAGAGCGTTCTTCATCAACACGGCCGGAGTCTTTATTAATTAACGTGCCGCAAGTGTGGAACTTGGAGACATGCAACTATGGCAGGCAGCTGGGACTAATCGGTGACCAGTACGTAAATCGTAAATCTGTTGTCTGCTCAATATGACACGTGTACTTGATTGTTTGAAGGCAGCAATCTTCCAGAACTAAAGAAATACCGCCGACAATGTCGGATCGATAGTGATACCAGACCGCAGACGCGTTGACCAGTAGATAGCCTATCGCTGGCTCGGTTGTCCTGCCCGAATTGCCATATCAGCATGAAGATAAAGACGTGCCCATGAAACAGTCCGTGCCTGCAAAGTGCAGCGAGATATTCTCTAGCCTCGTCTATCACCATGCTTATCAGCCAGCCAGAATGCGTCCTGAATAAAACTGTGAGCCGCGCTTGGCTACCGTGAGGGACGGTAGGGTCATGGATTGTCGGTGCAACGTCGACCGTCTTACAGAAGTACCTCAATGCGCACAAATGCCGCAACGTGGTACCTGCTAGTACTGGATGCATCCCCTGGGGGATGCCGCCGAGAAATGATCGGGGCGCCTTCGGTCTACAAGTACGTACCTGGAGCCTAACTTTGCTACGGCGGCAAGTGCGCTCCAAGTCCTCAGGAGGCTGTCCTCCACGTGGGTCTGTGGCGGAGGCTGACTGTCGCTGACAGCCAGTCAGATCGGCTGCCGGGCCGGCTGGCGGAGCACAGGGCGGATCCGCATTGACGTCAGCGTCGGCGGCCGGCCGGATCCCTGACAGCTGGACTCTGGTGGTGTGAGCGTCGCTCGCCGACACCGTGATGGACAGTCACAGTTTTCAGTAGTCGGATCGACTTGTGTGTGCTGATCCTGGCAACGTCTGTCCGCTTCACCCAATGACGGTGTCGTGCAGAAAGAGCCTCAGCGGGATGGCAGATCCAGGGGTTCTGCTCAGGGGGTCCAACCCCTCCAGACGGGTGGCTGCTGCACTGGCAGGTGCCCCTCCAGATCTGCCCGAGACGCAACCACCACCAACAAATGTACGACCACATCCAGTCGCCCTATGCGCTGCATTTTGTGCGTTGTTTTACCGCCCTTTGCCCATGCTCATGCGGCAAGACGTCGCTCACCGAAGCCTTCCGCGGGACTATTGATGTATAACAGCGTCACATGGTAAACCTTGGAGATTCATGACGAGCAGGCACGCACGGGTACGTAGTACGACGACTGGACCCTGTCTGAACGCTGCTGTGTGCTCGGCCAGACTCTGTGCAGTCGTGAGATTACCAGGGGCCGCTTGAGATGCTTGAGGTATGAGGACTGCCTTATCGGGGCTGTCAGTGATAAACTCGCCGCTTGCGACTCGATCAGCAGTTGGTGATCAGCGTGCGAGCCTCAAATCCCCAGCTGTCGCTGGCTGGGCCTCATCACCGCCAAGATAGAAGGACCGGACGTATCCACCCCTCCATGGGCAACGTCTCATCGCCGAGAAAATGGACGTTTCGATGCGTGCGTGAATAGCAAATCGCCCATAAGTTCCAGCCATTGCGATGTACACAACACTTTTGGTCGATTCCCCGCGAACCTGATTACGCCTGATACTTGGCGTCGTAGGCCATGTGGAGATGGGCGAGGCTGCAAGGGGAAAACCGCGAACCCCAAATGTCTTGGCGATTGCAGCGAGCTACGAGCGTTCAGCGCCCCAGCCGCCAGGCTGACGCTGCCGAGACTGCTTCATCCAACCGGGGCCACGGAGAGAGAAAAGTCGTTCATCGCCGGACGCGCTGCCGAGAGACTGGAGGCTGTCCTTGGGTGGGGCCGCTTCGACGCCCTGCCGTCATCGCGAACAGTGACCCGTCCGACCAATAGCAGCGCTGCATCGCCCTAATCACGACGTCGTCGGGCCAGATAGGCCAACGAAATGGACGCACACTTTGTCGTTAACCGTGAAACTAACTATAGGTACGTACCTCGGGCGCGCCGCGCGCCAAAGGAAGACTGCCAACGTCGTCATTCTGCCCCTTCTAGAATTCTCCAATTTTTCGTTTGACATGCCATTGACAGTTGAGGACTGGCTATCAGTCTACCTACCGCTCATGCGGTCATCGCGCTACTACCGAAAAGCCAAATCATTTTGACTTTTTTTCACTCAGGGAGCCATACCCGTGCCAGGCCATGCCATGCCATGCTGTGACTGTGGGTGGGACCACGTTTGATACAACCCTTGTGGATAGGGCATCCAGCCTTCGTTCGCCACAGCCTCCAGCAAGCACCCTGTCCGTAACATTCTGACTCGCAATGAGGGTGGTGATGATTGTTCACTGCGAGATCCACACACCACGCAAACCCACATTTTCAACTCACGCTTAGGCTCGGGGTCCCACCAAGGGGGGCCCATCCAAGATTCCTCAGGGAGTCCATCCATCAACATCCCTCTATCACTCGAAATATATAAACACACGAACCTCCCACCGTTCTTGACGGTAATAGTCCTCTCACTATCCATATCACCCTCGTCCACTCTTAACAACAAGACCATCCTCGACTCGAATCTGAAGTTCCTCTCCATCTCCCACTTCAACACTCCACAAACCACTTACACCAACAACCGCCATCTCATACCCAGCCATGTCGGGTCACCAATATTTCGACGACAGCTCCAGTGCTCCCTCGTCACCCGAACTTCAGTCCACAGGCTCCTCCTCCAGCCTCTCAAGTCTTCAGTCTCAAGCCTCTCCCATCTCGCCGCCCCTGGACAACGCTGTCGCCGACTCCTTCGTCTTCGCTTTCGACATTGACGGTGTCCTCGTCCGCGGTGGAAAGGCCATCCCCGAGGCTATCGAGGCCATGAAGGTCCTCGACGGGCAGAATGAATACGGCGTCGCTATGTAAGTCAACTTGACGATCCCTGCTTCCCCACAATCACTAACATACCATCCAGCCCCCACATCTTCCTTACCAACGGTGGTGGTAAGACCGAAGAAGAGCGCTGCCGCGATCTTTCCAAGCAGCTGGAGCGTGATATCAAGGTCGGCCAGTTCATCTGCGGCCACACCCCCATGAGGGAGATGGCCGAGACCTATGGCACCGTCCTTGTCATCGGTGGAGAGGGTGAGAAATGCCGCCAAGTCGCTGAGGGCTACGGCTTCAAGGACGTTGTCACCCCTGGCGACATCATCAAGCACGACGCCGCCACCACTCCCTTCCGCAAGCTCACCGAGCAGGAGCACGCCAACTCTCGTGAGCGTGACTTCAGCGAGGTCACCATCGATGCCGTCTTCGTCTTCGCCGACTCCCGCGACTGGGCTGGCGACATCCAGATCATGCTCGACGTTGCCATGTCCAAGGGTGGCCGCCTCGGCACCCGCTCCGAGACCTGTGACGAGGGCCCTCCCTTCTACTTCTCCCACAACGACGTCGTCTGGTCTGCTGCCCACGAGCACGTCCGTCTCGGCATGGGCGCTCTCCGCCGCATGTTCGAAGTCACCTTTAAGGACCTCACCGGTGGCCAGGGCAAGCTCAACACCCACGCCTTCGGCAAGCCCCAGGTCTCCACCTTTGAGTTTGCTTCCCGCCTGATGACCCAATGGCGCAACACTGAGCACGGTCTTGTCGCTCCTCCTTCCACCGTCTACTTCGTCGGTGACACACCTGAGAGTGACATCCGCGGCACCAACGCTGTCAACGAGAAGGCCGACAACGACTGGTACTCCATCCTCGTCAAGACTGGTGTCTACCAGGAGGGCACTGAGCCCGCCTACAAGCCTCGCGTCACTGTCAACAATGTCCTCGACGCTGTCAACCACGGTCTTCACCGTGAGATGAAGAAGAAGGGCATGACTGGCTTGAAGCAGGCCCTCCTCAAGACCAGCGAGGTCACCGACCATGCCCGCAGCATCCTCGACGATGAGTGCGGCATTATGGTCTAAGCTTGATCTTGAGATCAGCTTGACTCTTTTTCTTTCTTACCTTTTGAATTTGTCATAGCATTGCACGGATCGGGACGGGATACAGGAGTTTTTGATTTTCTTTTTTATCATTTTCATTTGTCGATTCACGAGAAACGATACATTCGGTGCGTCTTGAGGACTGGCTAGAAACACCAGTTGGATAGAGGACGCGCGATGATTGATCACTCGCTCGTAGCAGCGATGGCTTTCAGATAGCATACCTTCTATGATGCCCCTTATACCCCTGATGAGCATCACATCAACACTTCAATACAAACACTTCAAAAATACTCTACTGTTCATATCATAACTTGTGACTTTCGCGTAACTGGTTCTTATTCTTGTGCGAACGACAGCTCAAGTTCACTAACATGTATCACAACTCAGTGTTGCGTGTACATCAAGTCGACGCCACTTGTTCATAACTTGGAGACCTCCCATTGCCACAATACACCAGATTGCATAGCGACGTCGAAAACCCACAAACGGCAAGCGGCACAGGCCCACCTCCTTGTTGGCACGAGGGCGCATAGGATCATCACCGTTCACGCACCATGCCCGCAACCATGCTTGACAGCTGCACATGTGGAAGAAACACCGAGGTCAACCGAACCAAGAAACATCGGAAAGGGACGCATCCGGATTACCCAAACTGGCAAGCCATTCTTCTCATCATGAATGCGTGAAACCCCACACGCAGGCGCCTCAGCTCCATTGCAGGCTCTTCGGTCACAGAATCATGCCACTCGACGTGACGACCATGGCATTCTCGTCTTCCCCACAACCAACCACACGACTATCTCCAGACTCCACGTTCCCACTTGGGGCGGAGTATGTGATGCCTTGGCGAGTATGATCATGTCCGCTGCGTTAACAGCACAAGGATCGCGCGGCCCTGCTTGCCCGATTACCCATGAATATTTGCCCGGATAGACGAGGCATAAATCAGCACCCAGCCACTTTTCTCGAAGGCTGTGATAAAGGTCGGGTATGCACATATCCTATGCCCGAGCCCATCGAGATCGTTCACCTTTGTTCCTGCGCCAATCTCGGGTGTTCCTTGTCTGAATCACCGTGCAATCGATCCTGAACCTTCTCCTCTCGGAAGACAAAGTCTCCCCATTGAGACTCCGCTATCCAGCCGGCTGCCTCGACAACGCTCTGCCGCGCCGAGCGCCGTGTGAGAGCCTCCTCAGCACTCGTGCCCAGCGCAAACCCAGGCGTTTCCTCGCGAGATATGCGCAGCCAGCCCTTCCATCCTGCGACAACCTGCCCGGCCCCCATGCCTCCAACTACAATCGTGCCCCACCACTGGCGAGACGCACTCGGCGCGGCTGCGGCGCCATAGAGCATGAAGTTGCCGGCCTCGGCGACCAGCGCCCGTAGATGGTCGGCGCTGGTGGTCCCGTTGCTGTTGTGGTCGCCGTCGCCTTCTGCGGGACTGGTGCCGTATGAGCTTGGCCGTGACGGACGGTGAATGTAGATGTGGCGGGCGTCCATCTCCGGGCAAGTCAACCGCGTAGCGTCGAAGCGCCCTTCTAGATCAATCACCAACAGGGCATAGCTATGTGGAGGTGCCACCAGCGTTGAGGTAAGCTTGTAGAGGAGTGGAAGATGACGTCCATGGAGGGCGAGAGTAGGTGCCTGTGTTGCCCGAAAATGCCGTGCTGCGATCTCGTCGAGGGCTGGCAGATGGGTCGTTTTGAGCGGTGTCTTGGTTGCTGCGCTGCCTAGGGACGTTCGAATTGTATCGAGTATCTGAGAAGGAGGGTCAGCGGTGCGTTCAACCCTTCAAAACATGATTCGAGTGTTCAAGGCGCTCGAAACATTCAATGCGTATCCGAGGCTCATCTTCGGCGATGGACGTGACCACGTTGACAACAGATTCACTGCTGTTGGCAGTTGCGCATCATGCACCACTGCTTCGCCAGACAACATCTTTGTCACGGCACATCTCGCGATTGCCCGTTCCCATAAGACACAATGAAAATATCCATGAGATGGTTCTGTGCGTGGTGCAATTGTCGAAGGGGTCAAAGGGTGTTGATGCTGACTGAGCACGTCGGCCGGAAAATGCAGCCTGAGGCCATCGCCAAACTCACCTCCTCCAGACTCATCTCTTCGACCTCACCCAAGATCCGCGCTCCCATTGCCGCCTCCATTTCTTGCGATAATGTCGCCGCCGTGCCACCACTTCCAGGCCGCCGAGCTCTCCGAAAGGGTCCAGCAGGATGTCCACGGCAAACGTCGCAAAATGGTGCCGGGCGTGAGCCACATCGACCTCACAGCTTGTGAATTGCTCCAGATGCCCCAGTACAAATGCGAAGTTGAACACCCAGTCACGCCGCAAAGCCGTATTCTTTGCGAGGAGGTGACGCGATTTTTTAGGAGGTAAGTCGGTGATCAGGAGCTAGTTGCGGGCAGAGCGAGCGGATGGCTGATGAGGTCACGACCTTAGATGCAAAGACAAGAAGGGAATCTTTACTGTCGAGACCACGGCTTGGGAAGGACGAGACCACCCGAAATCAGCGGGCACAGCGTCACGACCAGCAATTGACACTGACAACATCCCTAATCGCCACCCTCATCAATGGTCCACGAGCTGGACTCAGTCGGATTCTCCGGAATGATCTACACGTCCGGATAAAGAAGCGCCAACTGTGCCAACGGCGGCGCCCCGAGTCACAGTTTATTATTGAGTCCTGAGTATTTTCAAAAAGGTCTAGTCGCGCCCTGGACGCGAAAGCGTCTACAATGCGCACAAAGGTTATGTGCTACGCTAAGACTAAAGACCGGCATGAAGAGAATTCCACGAGCTACGGGTTGTCGTGGGCACAAGTCAGCCACGTTCATGGGAGCCCCGGCAAATACTTCGACATGCGTTGGGAAGCCGCTGGTTGTAGCAGACAGGAAGCAGTCGGCGAGCAAGGGCATGAGATCAGAATGGGATGGTGACGAGCACTTCACCGAGAAACAGAACATCGCGGCCTAGCACGGAGTCAGTGCCCCTGCGGTTGTTTTGCTGGGAAGGGGCAGCGCAAGTGCACCTTGCCGACCACATGCAGTGCAACCCGCCAGCTTGCGTTTGCAAAACGTGCACACAGCAACAGACAGCACAGGGCTAGGTAGCCGTGTACAAAGGAAAAGCTTGGTCGTTGTAGAAATAACAGGAGTAGCAACGGCCTCCGCAAAGTCAACGAGACGCTCCGTCCAGCCATCATTTGCCTTCTCTATTGTACATCCCGTCAAGCGAAGGATCGCACCCAACTTCCTCTCGACAAACAACGTCTACCCAGCCGATTCCCACCTATTTCGCCGTGCGTGATGTCATTTTCGGTTTGTGTTGCCTTTACTGCGAGGCGTTCGAGGCACGCTTCTCCTCCAGCTTCGCGTAGAAGTTGTCACGGGCGTTGGTGCGAGGCATGTGGTAGCCGTACCTAGTAAATGGGTCAGTACCAATCCTTTTGATCAGGTCGCGCCGTCGCTTTCTTCCGTGTCGTACCAGAACCAGTTGGCCATAACGAAGCCAATGCCTGCAGTAATTTGTTAGCCCTCGGCAATGGACGGAAGGGACAGCTGCACTTCAGCGCCAGAGCAGCGCGTAACCACCAGTACGCTGAATGCAGTTCCATAGACGAATATCCACATACCGAAAGAGATACCAAGGTCCAGGACGAGGTTTCGTCGGAGCATCTAGTTACCACAATCAGTCATCCAATCCATGTCGCAACCGAGCCGCTTCCGCCCGACGGAGCAGCCATTGGCGTCCAAAAACATACACCAGTGATGGGCTTGACGGCCATTGTGAGCGATTGAGTGTCTTTTCGGGGCTTTCGAGGCGATCGTGTGTTGCAAATGTTTGCTCGTCAATTGGGCGAAGAGGTGGTCTGAGGTTCGGAACCGGTAACGTTAGATGGTGATAATCGCTCTAGAGTACAGTCACGTGATTACGTGGCTCCCCGAAAACTTCCCCGGCAGAACTACGGCTGGCCGCCCGACACTGCGCTGCGCCAGGCAGGGGACTGGACCTTTGCAGGAAATTCGACGACAGGCATTTATTACCTTTGACTTTGCGCAGAACGCGAGCTTCGAGATTTGGAAGCAGCGCGACAGCACACTGCCACCATGACACTCCGTGTGGCAGCCCGTCATCTGGGTCAGCCCGGTAGGTGCTCTGCTTCATTGAGAGGATCACACTGCTAACGTCCATTGCAGCGGCGCTCCCATCATCAATCCTTGCCCTGCGGCTGGGACCTGCGGTACAAATTCGTCACAAATGGAGTCTCGGCAGCTTATTTGGAGGAGGCAAGAGCGCGAAAAACGATAAAGGCCCAGGCATTGGCTCTGATCTCGACAAACCGGAAGTACGCAAACGGTTCCTCAAAGCCTCGAAATCCAAGAAGTCCAGCCGCGCCACGGCAGACGAACCAGCCGGAGTCTTCGCGGACGAACTGGTAGAAGCCGAGAAGGAGACGGCGCACTCGCTGTCACGAGACGGTTCTTCAGTCCCCGAGAACGCCCCCCAGTCCTTTGAGGAACAGCTCGAGGTAGCAAGGCGGGAAGCTCTTACGCCCGAAGGCACTCACATAGCCACCGACCCGGATCCTGCCTCGCGCGTTCAATGGCAGCGGCGCAAGGTTATTCAAATGGTCCGGCGGCGGGGTGTGCTCACGCCCCAAGAGCGCATCAAAATGACGGAGCGTGAGCTGTTGCACAAGAGTGCCTGGTTGCCAACAAGCACCAAGAAGCTTGTCATGCTGTCTCGCCAAATCGCAGGCAAGACTGTGGACGATGCGATTACGCAGATGCAGTGGTCCAAGAAGAAGATGGCCCGCGAAATCAAGTGGTACCTCGAACAGGCACGCGACCTGGCCATCACGCAGCAAGGCATGGGCCTGGGTCGAGTCAACGGAGAGCTTCTCAAGCAGCCCAAGAAGATCCAGACAAAAGACGGGAGCTGGATGGAGATCCGTGACCCAACACGAATGTACGTTGCCCAATCGTGGGTCGGCCGAGGCGAATGGCGCGGGAAGCACACGGATATCAAGGGTCGCGGACGAATGGGAATTATCCAAAATCCCAAAGCTAGTATGGACATTGACCTTGCTACATGAAGCCGGAGACTAACATACTGATAGGCTTCACCATCGTCCTGAAGGAAGAGAGGACCCGGATACGAGAATATCAGGAGCGTGAAGCTAAGAAGCTCGCGGAAGGTCCCTGGGTACACCTACCGAACAGGAAGGTCTACGGCCAAAGACCTTACTATTCGTGGTAGACGCAAATGCGTGGCATGTCTTCCATGGTTCCAAGGGCGTTTGTAAATATGTAGGATAGTGGTTTCGGATGCTGACTTCGAGACATGTAACATATGTACTAGAAGATGCAAATGATAGGCCGCACTGTTACTGTACTCTGTTGAGATTCTACGAGCTTGCAGGCCACGACATCGGCTGGAGATCACGCACGGCTGACGGCCTATGATAAGATGAGCACTTGGTTGATTGTTTCCCTTGATCCCGCTTTCACAGCTATCCAGCCGAATTCATACAGAAAGAAATCATGCGAACGGCGTTGGTCCATAATGTTTGATATTCCGCGGACTGGGCACCGCCGTCTCAAACCATTGTACGAGGCACCTGCCTAGGGACCATATCCTCATAACGGTTTGATGTCATCTCAAAGGATTCACCGTGCTTCTCCATGTAGGAACCGTTATCACCGGACCCGTAGCCACGGCCGACGTCAGGCATAGGCCTTGAAATGTCGGGATTCTGAGGGCCTCTCTGCTGCTTCTGCTTGCGTTTCCGGAGAAGGATAGCAATGGCAACTGCTGCGATGGCAATAACGACAACAGCAACACCGATACCGATGCCCACAGCGGCGCCCTGCGACAAACCCCCAGCGGCTGCTGCTGCGCCGTCGTCGTCCTTGTCACTTGCTGCAGAGGTCTCGCTGGCGTCGCTGCTGGATGTTTCTGCGGCTGAAGTCGTTTCTTCGGTTTCAGAGGCTTCCTGCAAATCGTTAGCCCAGTCAAGCTGGGTGAATTACAAGACTCACGGTAGGGGTCGCGCTTGCGGTGGTGCTTGAAGCCGCGCTTTCGGTTTCCACTGGAGCGGTCGTCGTTGCGGCGGCGGCGTCGCTCGTCGGCACAGGGGTTGTTGGTTCTGCGCTCTCAGTCTCCTCCACTGCCGCAGACGAGGTTGGCTGTGCTTCCTCCTCAGCAGCCGATGTGGTCGTAGCCGCCGGTTCCTCAGCGGCAGATGTTGCTGCAGACCCGTCGTCGACAGGAATCCCGGCACAAAAGTTGGTGTCGAACCAGCCGCTGACTTGCGCTTCTGTGGTGCCGGTGCATCGAGAGGTGGAACAATCCCTTACACTATAGCGGAAGTTCTCGGCCTTGCAAAGGCAGCCAGCTTCATTGGCATTGGTACAGCCAAACTCTGCGAATTGGGTGTTTTTGACGTCGTTGTTGCAAGAACCCTGCAGTGTCTGTGAGCAGATTGACCCCAGCCAGGACCATTCTTTGCGAAGGGACCACGTACCACACAAGCCGGGTCAGCAGGAGCTTCTTGGCCAGCAACGCTAACCACACTGACGGCAGCTAGAACGCTGAGAATAGACAGAAAGCTCCGCATGTTGAAGGCTGACGTATTCTCTATTGTGAAAGCAGAATCGGGAGTACAAAGACGAAGAATGAGGGTTTGTGGAGTGCGACTGGCCGCTGATGGACAGGCGCGAGGTGGATCTGGCGAATGGCGGTAATGGACTGAGCGATTGCGCGAGTGTCAGAGAAGGGTCAAGTCCAGCTCGATGATATGGTGAAGTATAAATTGTCGCAACCCAGGCCAATGGCAGAGTGTGAGACCAGGTGAAGCGAGCTTTCGAGTGAGAGCGCGAGGTTCCTTCTTGGTCTGCCAACGAATACGTAGTGTGCCCGGATTCCCAACCTGGATACGTCCGGTGCCGTTCGTGTCGAGCTCACAGAATGAGGTCGGGAGTCGCTAGTCGTTTCCTGTGATCGTCCAAGGAATGACAAGGTGTTTGATCGTCTGCAGTGTGCGTAATGTCGAGGTCGTGCTTCTCGTGAAACGAAGGTAGGTCGTGGTGAGCTCGAAAGAGACTGGAGAGAGAGAGAGAGAGAGTGTAGTAACAAATGAGTGAAAGGCGCTGGTCAGCGAGAAAGAATGAATGACGATGCCGAAGCTACGATGTGAAAGGGAGATGAGAGGGAAGTCAAAGGGACACCCGAAGCTATTGCAGACGTTGAAATGGAATGGGGCTCGTGGGAAGAGTGGAGTGCCCTTGAGCTCGCTCCGGCGCACCGCCGCACATTGCCCTCCCATAACTCGGGATTGTTTGGGTGGATCATGGTGCCAGCTTGGGGGGAATTGGACATGCCAGTGGACTGGACTCTGGAGTCAGGGGGCGCTTCCATGTCTGCAGGTGCACCGTGCACGGGGCAGCTGGGCCAGCAGCAGGGCGGGTGCCTGCAGCGCCTAGACAACAAACACAGCAGCCGGTGTCTCAGGAAGTCTTTTAGCGTCAAACGGAGGGTGAGTGAGGGCACAAATCAGCTCGAGCATTTTCGCAAGCCTTGCGTGGATTTGGGTGGCTTGTGATTCCCTCCACATATCGTTTTGTTGATGCTGTACGGATACAAAGCCCAGGTACTTCAGCATACTGGCGCGACTCTGGAGACCTAACACGCGATGCCTGTGCAAGGCGGCCAGCGCGAACCCGCCAGGATCCTGCGCGGCGCAATGATGGATCTCCCATTTAGTTAATTAATTAGGTCGGCAACGTGATCAATGCTGATGTAGCTGCGACAGTTGTGCTTCATGCGCCAGGATACTCAAAACAGACAATCCGAAGCAATCGCAACGCATTTCACCCCTCTCCAAGAACATGGTCACCTTCCATCCAGACCTATTAGTCTAGACATTTACTGACCGGCCGAGTACATGTAAGGAATCGTTTTCAACAACGAGTGGAGCAATCGCTCTTTGGACCTTTGCACGCGAGGACTCGGAGGAATTGGTGTGGGGGACCGCGCACTACCACAACGCCATGATGATCTTGTTGGAACTAACAACTTGGATCTACTACGCCTGGGGCAGCAGCCACCTCCACAAGTCTTTGATGAATGTTCTGAATTAAGATACCCGAGAACGGCTCTTTTATGTTTGCATTATATCAGTTCATGGACTTGCTGTAATCACCGTTAGTTTAGGTGCTAGTGGCTTAGGCATTTTGTATTGGCTTCGTCGAGAGTTATTCAGCTCTTCCTGGATAGTATTTTGAAACGAGAGGGAATAACGCGGATGTCGATGGCTGTAGCCCCTGCCAAGCCTCACAGCACTCCTCATCACACATTACAGGTATGATTAATAACATGGGGACAGCGCCGCGACTCGCGAGAACCGAAAACTGGAGGCGCGTCTATTTCTAGCTACCCTACATTATGCAACCAACGACCCGAGGATCAAACGATAGGACAGTTCTACCCACTACCTGGACTCCGACATATAAAAGTGTCTTCATGCTGGTGGTATCTGTGAATATCTCTTCATTAGTGTGCGTTTGATGAGATTCGCAAAACAGCTAAGAATGCATTGTCATAGACAGCATTTTGCCTGGCAAAACGCACGTATATTTCAATGACCATAATATCAGCCCCACGGAAGCACAAATTTCGGAGTGGCCGGGAAGCCGCCCACAAAAGCGAGGACATGAAGTGCTTGACGTTCAACGATTGAATACGCAAGGTACATGTACCTGAGTATGTTGAGCTATTGCGCTTGGGCGTGGCCAATCGCCAGACACTGCGCGTGTCGCGTGTTTGCCTGTTAACTGAGTTGTAAACTAATACGTCACTCACCCCCCACGCACGCGGCTCGGATAATGGCTACACGCGAGCCGAATTGGCAGCGAGGCGTTCTAGACCACCAGAAGTGACGATGAAGCGAGCCGCTAATGAAGCTGCTTTCACTGACTGGCTACTTTACCTGCCTTACCCGTCGCAGGGTCACGCTCCTTGGACCTTGCGTGGTCACGTTCGTTACCTCTCAGTTCTTCCTCACCAAAGTGTGGCTCGCCAGAGATCAAACAACGCAGCCGTTGCAGCTGAGACTGTCCTGTTATCCATTTGACCAACCGGTACGGATAGCACAGCAGCCGTTTCTACTCACTTCCTCCATGGGCCTCGTTTGTGACCCGGCATTTGCTTCACGATCTATCCATAAAATTATCCCCACACCTTCCCAGCTGCCTGACCCACGGGCCACGACTACGAATTTTGACACTCGAGCGCGGCTTGGTCATCACCCGCTGGCCCCGTCCTGACATACGCGTTCGAACACCCCGACACTTTGACGCACGATCGATGGCCTGTGGAAAGGCCCGCCACTGAATGCGATTCGACATGGCGACCCCCGTTGGCGAAGAGTCCTGGCTAGCCTATCTCGACGAGGCAGTCCGCAATGCCACCGATCTGGAGAAACGCGTCCATGCCATCGAGCTGTACAAGCGCGCAGTCAGCCTCGAGCCCGGCAGCTTGCGACTATGGCTCGCCTATTGCGACTTCTTCTGGTCTCTCTGGGGCGAGTCTCAGGATTCGAGTTCAGGCTGGTCTGAAGAGGAGCGCATGATGGGTCGCGAGCTTTTCTCCTTTGGCGCTGCCCTAGCCCTGTGGCAGCAAGGCTACGAGTCGATCAAATACCGCGTAAGCGATAGCCATGAGCTTTGGAATCGCTGGATATCCCACGAGATGGGTCTGCTATCCAAGACCAGGACACCCGACGGTATAAAGCGCATTACACATCTCTACCGCAACCGACTCGTCACGCCGCACCTCACGTGGGAGGAGACATCGCAGGCATTTTCCAGCTTCCTCTCGGAATACAATCGCAACGCTTGGGAAGACACCATGAAAGAAGTCACGGGTCAAGCACAGGAAACGAAGCGGCTGATCGCTGACCGGGACCCGTTTGAGATACGCCTGAGGCAGGCGCAGAAGTCGCAGGATGTCGAGCTGGAAAAGTCAATAATGGAGGAATATCTGGAATGGGAAATGTTGCAGAGCAAGCGTAACAACGACCACCCGGACATTGGTATAGATTTATGCTGCGGACTGTTCGACCGTGCTCTAACCGGGGTCTTCGCAACCGACGAAACAATGTGGAATGAGTCTGTCGTATTCCTGTCATCGTCTAAACTGAACTCCCGCGCCGTCAGCAACCTCCTGGATGTTCTCGAACGAGCTGTGAAGCACTGCCCCTGGTCGGGGAAGATGTGGAACAGGTACATTCTTTGCGCAGAAGAAGCCAACCTCAGCTTTACCGAGATCGAGCGTATCAAGCACGCGGCGACCAGCGAAGACCAGCTGTACAAGGCGGGGATGGAGAGCATGATCGAGATGTATGTCGCCTGGTGCGGGTTCTTGAAACGCCGCGCCGTCGATGCTGGCGCGGGCGACGAAGCTGTTGACGTGGCTGATGTCGGTCTTCCGGCGGCTCTGGAAAATGTGGCTGTTGTCGGCAAGCGGTTATACGGCAAAGATTTCCAGGGTGATCCAAAGTTCCGGCTGGAGCGTATCTACATCCAATATCTCACGGAAAGGAAGGGCGCGATAGACGAAGCTCGCGCACAGTGGAATAAGCTGGCCAGTGTCCCGATACACGCCGACAGCCACAACTTCTGGTTCCGCTACTACATGTGGGAGATGCTCATCTTCTCCTCAAAACCAGCCTCAACACGCAGCCCGACTCCTCTATCGAATGCGAATGGGTTGCGGGTCCCCACCCTCGCGACATCTGTCCTCGCGCGCGCGGTGGCGCGGACGAACATTGACTGGCCAGAAAAGGTGCTCGAGGTGTACTTGCAGCACTGCAACGACTACGAACCACCGGCGTCCATGCGGAGAGCCACAGACAGGGCACATAAAGCTGCGAAAGAGATCCGCCGACGTCGGGAGAGAGAGCAACAAGAGAAAGACGAGGCATATGTTGCTTACTACGCACAGCAGCAGCAACAACAACCGCAACAACAGGAGGAGTCCCTTATCCCCGCGGAACCCCCAGCGAGTGAGACGAAACGTAAACGCGATGATATAATCGCCGAGGGCGAAGCTTCTGCAAAGGCCAGCAAACGCCAGAAGAATGAGGATCACCTGACAACTCCACTCACCGCCGGACAGGAGCAGCCGGCTCCGGCCAAAAGAGATCGGGAGCACACGACCGTTTTGGTGGAGGGTCTGCCCGCAGACGTAACTCAAGTCAAGCTTCGCCAGTACTTCAAGCCGTATGGGCACATCAACAACGTTACAGCTCTAGTCCAAGAATCAGACCAATCGACCTCAACAGCGTTGATCGAGTTCAAAACAGCCGAAGAGGCGCAATCAGCTCTTCTCCGAGATGGCAAATATTTCGGGCAGTCGCAGCTACGAGTCACGTCTGGCCACGATCTCACACTATACCTGGCAAATTTCCCACCAGCTGCTGATGAGAACTTCATCCGCGATCTCTTCAAGGATTGTGGCACCATACTTAGTATCCGTTGGCCAAGTCTCAAGGTCAATACCCATCGTCGATTTTGCTACGTTTCCTTTCGGGACCGTGATGCCGCCGCCAAAGCCACGGGCATGGACGGCAGCCTGTTGGAGGACAAGTATCGGCTGGTTGCCAAGTACTCGGATCCTGGCCAGAAGAAGCGCCGTGAAGGTGCATTGGCGGAAGGACGCGAGGTTCACATCCAAAACCTGGACCGTTTCGCTCCCGAGTCCGAGTTGAGACAGGTTTTCGGCAAATATGGCACGGTCTTG